AGTCAAGTTTCTAGTAATATGCATATGAATTTGAATCTAAATTAAAGGCATATTCTAGAGGTTTAAAGGGTCTTAATTTCGAGTGGTATTATACACACTTCAAATTCAAGCCAGGAACAGTTGATGGAAAAATGAGTCCACTATAGGTCCTCCGGCAGGAATCGAATCTACGCTTTTGCGATGCCGGTGCAATGCATCGAGTGAAGTGGCAAAAATCATAATTTAAATTAATTGAAGGCACTCGAACATTCTAACCACAGAAATAATTCTAAAACCTGACATCCTTGTACAAATTGAAATCCCACGCTGATGCATGGCATACTACTTCGCGATCTTTCGGTTTCTGTAACATCGATTTTTCGTAAAAACTTTGAGGCAGTTCTTTTAATCCGAGAGACACAAAGAACGATTCAGCCAATCGCGTCAGGTTCTTAGGAGTGTTATACCGACTATCCAGTTTCAAATTCGACGTTACGTCCAGGTTGGATTTGTTTTCGTAAGGCATAACTATATCGAATATATTCACCCAGTTTTGCGCCCACATATTTCCCAACAAGTGGGCTTCAATATAATCTTTTTCAGAAACTTTGCCTGGATAAGCCTTTGCTAACTTGTACCGCACATAAGCATGGATTTCTATATAAAATGGCTTCAATTCTTTCCATAACTGCTCCACCAAAGTAGCAAAGTTGTCAACTTCGTAAGCCAAACGCCACGCTTCCCCACGGTCAGTGTAACCATTCTCTTTTGCACCTTTATTCGTTAAACCTATGTATTCCTTGTAAATCTGTCTCATTTTTCTTCCGGACTCATTGCGCCACCCCCACCAACTGTGAAGAAGTTCGTCATAGTCACGTGAATTTGCCATTAATCTAACCAAATGAGGCATAAGTGAGTTATTGCCGACCTATGAAAGGCAGTTCAAATTAGACAGTCAGTATAAGTCATATATACTACGTTTCAAGTTATTATATGCAAATACACATTTCTTACATTTCTCTTAATGTAATGTAAATGTTTGCAGTTGCCCTTGAGAGTGTAAGAATAGGTAATTAATGCATGACAAGGTCATTTCATTTGTTGGTTTTTGTTTATAAGTGATCAATCATCAAACAAAGTGAACATTTACGGAAAGCAATACATACAACTCAAAGGATGAACTGTGGAATGTGAAATATGCTGCAATTAATATTAAACGTTATCAAAAATCTCACAAGTTCAGTTAACAAAAGGCCACTTTCTGTCGTGCAAAAGAATGGTTGATACATAAAACACTGAAGTAAATATATCCGTAATGGAGCGAATTATTAGGGTGAAACTACTAGGGTTTACTGTTTTGTATGGCTTCTAATTGCTAAATGAAATAATATACTATTACGATGTTGATTTTCTTATTCTCTGGCTGTGATTTTTCCTTTGATAGCATGAAAAGAAACTTTAGAAAGGACATAACTGTTATTTTTAAATTATTGGGAAAGCAGAAAAACAATAATATAGCTTTAAACGTAGTTTAGTATAATTTTTCCTTAATAAGTTATATCTTAGACCATATCACATCACAAATGGACTTGCTGGAGCTAGATGTTCCGCAGATGGTATAAGCTTGCCCAAACAGTATTGATCCCAGTGTTGATCTATAGCCAGCCCAGAAATGTTTTCGTTCTCGAGTAGAACACAGTCAGCTTGATAAAACAGCATTTGCATCCAAATGTGTATATGGGCGGTTTAAAAGGTAATAAATTGTAGATATATCGCACGATTTGTAGGTATAACTCTTTATTATAGGTGGGATTTGAGTACATTAATTTTCATTACCACACAAACATCCAAAGTTCAGAGGACTGTGTATCATATCATTTAGTGTCGTTAAAGCAAAATTTTACACATGAACCAAATTCTTTTAATTAGTTATTTCATTCTTCAAATTTTAGGTTGCATTTCTGAACAATTTGCTGCGAATCAGACAGTTGTTTGACATGTAGTGATCATGAAAATATACCACAAAGTGTGCCACATTTTGTTGGGGGCCACATTTTTTACCCCTGTACATATAAGGCTTTAAAACAGTTTTCAAATTTCTCAATAGGAATCCCAATAAATATTTTTGAAATAATAAAAGTTAGTCAGCTGCGTTGGTCAAAAAATAAACAAACGAGATTCGAGAATCCGGGGGGCTAATTGACATTTTCCTGAAATGTGTTTTATTGGAATAATTAATTTGTATTTAAATATAAATATTTAGTTTCGCGTTTCAATCTTCTTTGCAGTCGCCTTAAAATTTTAACATTTTCAAAAAATATTTATAGCCACAAACTTTGTCTTGTTCTTGTTTAATGCTTTAACGTTTGTTTAATGCTTGTTCTAACTTTAAATATATGCTTGCAAGCAGGGGCGCCGGAATATCGATAATAACGGGGGCAGATATTCATATATTCGTGTTCTGCATTATTAACTCCTTTTGAAATCAATTGTTTTTACGATCTGCGAACACGAATATATGAATATCTGCCCCCGTTATTATCGATATTCCGGCGCCCCTGCTTGCAAGCTAAGGGAGTCCCATTCTTTTTAAAAATGAGCAGCTACATTTGAAAGCTGATGAAACAACTGGATATCCGGTCGAAGAAGAAAATTAAAATGTTCCATTTCCAGTATCTGTGGCTGTGGTTCAATAATCTATTAAGCTAAACTGCTTTTCGACGAAGTTGAATGAATAGGGAGTTAAATTGTCTGCATAAAATCGCAGATCACCTTTTAAATTCTTATGCTCTGTTGATTTTCGCGCTAAAGTCATCAGGTAGTGGTGGTCCTCAAGAAAGCCATCACCATTAGCACACAGTAAAAGGTACACGGGTGATCGTAGATCCAGTAACTTGTACCTTGCATCTACGAGGAGCAATTCTGGAAACTTGCTATATATATTACGCATGTAGCTATCTTGGTAAAAACATCCCCAAACGTGCACCGTACCCCGGGTGTAGTGGCGTATGAGTTCTACGAGTGTTTTGTTCTCGGTAAAATACCCCCTATATACCATATAATAATAATATTCTGTCTGAATTCTTTCGAAAATTTACGATCTCTGAGGCCCGTATTCAAAAAGCTCACTCACACTCAAACTCATTGAGTGGGAGATCTTAATCTGCCCATAACGTTTCAATGGCGGTATTTTCAGCCGAACAGGGGCTTGATTTTCAGTGATTTACCTTATATCTTTTCATCTATTGAGAGAAAACTTTCTCATTGATCAGCATTAACAAAATTTATATGTCACACTCAATGAGTGTGAGTGTGAGTGAGCTTTTTGAATACGGGCCTGAGTCTCACTAACCCGTGTCTATTTACAGTTTAACGTGTGTCTTGTTTGAATCGTATATTATTGACTTTCAAGATGTCTTGTCTATTCGGAATTTGTTTTTTACTATCCGCATTGTGTTTATATATAGTTTAATTAGTTTTTCGGAGTTGCTTGTAACAAGAAAGTAAAGTTGCGCTATAACAATTCGTAAAAATTATGTGTTATTATAATTATTCGTGTGTAATTGTGTTTTGTTTACGTTTTCGTCTGAAGTCGCTCGTTTTTTCGTCAAGTCGCCCCTCATTTCGTAATTTTTCGTAATATTTGTAACATTCCTATATAGGTCGTGTGCATTCCCGCGCGCTTGCTGCTGTGCCCGGTGACGGGAATTGTCTTTTTCATTCGCTGTCAATTGCTATCAAAGGGTGACTTTTCGATGGCAACAGAATTACAAATTCGTACGTGCATTGAGATGGTGTCCGAAAAAAGTACCCACATTAAGGAGCACAAGGATACCAGGATCAGTTATGTGTCACCTGATTACGAAGAGGCAATGAGAGATTGTGCATTCAACGGCCGATATTCATCCGCTTGGGCTATGGTCAGGACAATTCCTATTTTAAATACCGCATTCACCCCAGCGAAGTCTTCGTCCACTGTTCCAATTGTGGTGATGTGGAGCAGTGTATCAAAGCCATCGCCTGGCAAAGCCATCACCTGGTTTCCAAACCATTTTGTTTCGTTGCTTATGTCGGACTCTGAGAAATTAAAAAAAGCGGAATTGTGCCAGCCGACATAACATATGCGAAGGTCACTAGTGCTCAGCTTAAGACATCTACACCAACAAAACAGGTTTGTTTTAATTCAGTCATAGTATAATATAGTCAATATAATCGATTACATTATTTTAACATGATTAACGCCTATTCATGCAGTTGTCCAGATGAAATGAGTAACATTAAGAAATCAATGTTAGTATATTAGAGTATGATAGAGTATGTAGGCAACTACCCAGAACAAAATCTACCGCACGGGAACAGTAAAAAATCTGTTGGCGATTATGTCGGCACTTCATGTTCAGTTAAAAGAAAGTTGGCAGACATGACAGCAAGAAATAAAAGGGCCTCGTGAAATATTCGAGGAAATTGCACTTGATAGTTCAAGTTCTGCACCGAGAGATTTGAAACATGTACAGAATACCGGAAAAAAAAGAGAATTGAAAAAGGTCATGTTTACAGGAATAACGTGGCTGACGAGGTACAGGCGTTGTTAACTGACATTCATAGGACACCGCGGAAATTGGTATAGGCTTAGCCGCAATTCTCGATACTTAGACTTCAAACTTGGTGAGGAAAAAGATTTATAAATATTCAAGAAAATATGTCTTGCACAAAAGATTTGAAGCTTGCTCACGGTAAAAACGAATCGTCTGAATTAATAACCTTGTGTATACTTTAAGCCTCAAAATGGCCATTTCACAGCGGTCAGATGTGCATGATGAGCTGTCAAAAGATTGCAGAATGCGTATTCAGAAGAAAAATTGAACTTTTTTAAGATATTCAAAAGGTTTTCTTTGATAGGGCGATACAGAAATGCACAATTGTGAACCAGCGATTAGATTTTCGGGTTGAAACGTCTTAAACACCAATTTCTGCGGTGTCCATTCATAGCCACCCTATTATCCAAGAAATCGTGCAAACCAAAGGGAAACCCACATGCGTTGTACTTTATTTAGAAGACAATTTGAACGATATTAAACAGTTTTATTCGTCGAATGCCAGGAATCCAAGTGTTCTTGGGATAGATAGGACATTTTAATCTAATTGGTGCATGTTTCGCGACAAGCACGTGTATACCAGCACAATAATTAAAAAAAAAGGGACGAATAACTCCCCAATTATGCTTGCGGCAATTTATTTGCATTGGGACGGTTCATACGAGACTTACCACAGATTTTTTGTCCATCTTCAAAGTAAATTAGGAATGGACATTGGTGGGACTCAATTGCGACTTGTCATTGGGTCCGACGAAGAGGCGGCACTGACAAAAGATATAAAGCAGTGTTTCCCATCTTCGATTCAATTACTCTGCATAAGACATTTGCAGGAAAACGTCCGCCGTTACTTATCCCATAAAGTTGAAGCAAACGACAAGACGAAAAACAAGGTCATGAAAGAAATTTTTGGAAAAGACAGCCTAACCACGTGCGATGATGTTAAAAACTTTGAATTAAAATATTTAGAACTTTTGGACAAGTATTCAACACGTGTTCCTACATTCAAAGGATATTTTGAGAAAATCTGCGAAAAAATTCGGGAATCATGGAACCAAGAGTATCTCATAGAATGATTCCTTTTGATTAGAAAAACAATTTGTGTGAGGCAATGAACCATGTCATCAAACTATCTGCCAACTGGAAAACCATGAAATTGCCTGACTTTGTTGACAAACTGCATAAAATTGTTATGTTGCAAGAGGCAGATTGCAGAAGAGCATTGCATGGCCAAGGTAACTACGAGTTAACACCCTGGATGGTCAAACTACAGGTTCAGCATGTACAATGGACGCAAACAAAAACAGAAGAAGAGAAAGAAAAAATATTTAAAATA